AATTTAACCGCAGGTGTCGTTTACTTAAACTCTTTATTCCAAATCATGAAAATAAAACTATATTTTATACAAGAGTCTTCCTAATTCCAATGATACACCTCTCTCTTTCTCACTACATATATATAGATATATACACATACACTCACACACACATATATATATATATATATATATAGATACATATATATATATACATATATAGCTTATAATTTTTTAAAACAAGGATATATACATATGTATATATATATATATATATATATATACATATGTATGCATATATATATATATATATGCATATATATATGTATAAATATATATATATGTATGCATATATATATATATATATGCATATATATATGTATGCATATATATATATATGTATATATATATATATGCATGCATATATATGTATGTATATATGTATATATATATATATATATATATGTATATATATATATATATATGTTATATTAATTTTTTTTTTCGAGTCAATTGGAGTAGTGTTTTTCTTTATAATATTTCTAAGTGAAGATTCATCCTGTTTGTAGTCGATGTGCATTTGGTTTTTGGGAAAATATTTATGTTATTTTTGACTCAGTGTTCACTATCATTGTTATTTACTTTGGGGAGAAATAGTCTAATTTGGTGATCTATAATGTTGTTAGGGATACCATTATTAACTAGTGTCTGTTTTACATTATTGAGTTCTTTAAGGAAGAGTAGTTGAGAGGATGAATTCTGCTGTGCTCTTTTTAGGTAGTTTTTTTTTTATCACTGCTATTTTGTCTCTTTGTAGGCATTCACTTTTAAAGTTAAAGTGGGAAGAATTTCTGCTATCGGTTTTTTTTTTATATAATGAGGTGATAAAAGTGTTGTTACTATATTCTACGAGAACATCTAAGAATGTGTGTTTATTATTTTGACTAAGTTCGTAGGTAAAGTTAAGGAGAGAGATTTTTTTTTTTCAAATGTAGTTTTAAGACAATCTATTTCTTTAGAGTTATTTGCTAAAGTAAAAATATCGTCTAAGTAGCGGACATATATTTTAGGTTTACAGAACATGTTTAAATATATTTTCTACATGGGACATGTAATAATTGGAGAAGCATGGGCCGAGTGGATTTCTCATAATAACGCCGTTAGTTTGGGAGTAAATGTTGCTATTATAGTCATAATATATATATATATATATTTTGTGCGAAATATATATAGCTGACCATTCGTATTCGAGGATACCCATCTACTGGGGCGGCTATCCAATCCCTACTGCTGACGCTTGCTCAGGCGCATTTCTGTTTATTCCACACCCACAGAGCCCACCTGTGGTTTATACTGCAACTATGCTGAACAGACCTTACTTACAGTTTCTGGCAAAGAGCGTGTTATTTAGCGTGATCAACAATTTGTAAAAGGACAGCACGCTAAAGCCCTCGGTCATGATGACTTGTGACTTTATGCTAGCACAGCTATCGACGAAACCCAAGGTCTACCGTCTACACAATTTCATTCACAAGGCTTAGGTCAACCCGTGGTATGGCTTTCAGGCACTTTCCAATATATATATATATATATATATATATATATATATATATATATATATATATATATATATATATATATTCAAAGATGACAGGAGAGGGTGTCATGTGACTATTCATGGGTCACGCTAGGGACCCACGGGAATGCACTGCAACTATACATCATCTGCGATGTTCCTGGCTGCCATAATCAGTACCATGTTATGCCGCCTCTCTTCTTCCACCAGTGCATCAGGGTCAATATAACCGCCGACATCGAGATGCGATATATGGTTGCCAAGCCCTGGATCGAGTGGATGTTCGTACTTGTCTTAGCAGAGTTATGTTCCCACCAACATGGCCCACGAGTGGCTGGCCGAGAATTTTCAAGATCATGTCACTCTTACCCGCAAACATCTGGTCTCGTATCTCCTCTGATTTAAATCCTCTGCACGATTACAACTGCAGCAGCAGCAGCGAAAGCGTAACGGCCAATATCATTGAAAACAAACCGTTCCTGGTAAGCAGTTGATTCCGTGGCCGCATGGTGTCCGTTCGCAAGGTTGATGGAGGTTTTATTGAATAAACATTCTCTATTTATTATCAGTTATTATAATTTGTTATCAGTTACTTGGCGTCCCAAATATGTATACATATAAATTTCATGTAAAGTATATATATATATATGTAAAAGGACAATATGAATAAAGATAAAAGGAAAGATAATCTTACCCGACACGTTTCGTCCTCTGAATGACTTTATCAAGACAAATGCAAGGATTTCAAGATCACTTACTTTCGTTTATTAGACATTTGAATTGTATCACTTCGCGTACTCCATAGCCTGATTTTTCGGCTAATCTGATGAATATTTATGAGCGTCCTTAAATTGAAAAATTTTTGAACGACCAATAACATTTTTCCTCTCATATATAAATACTTATTACAAAATAAAATTCCCTGAGAGGAAGAAACCTTTTGTCTTTTTTCATATATATATATATATATATATATATATATAAATGGGCATTAATGTCAACACACAGAGGTGACAGTACTTTTCATGCTAAACGCAATCATCAGGCCATGTTGACTTTAATGTCCACTTTTATATTTGCATACGTTCTATCCCAGATATTGAACACTTTAACCCATAACTATAGCATACCTTAAAACTATATTTTATCATAAAAACACACACACACACACAGGTATGTGTGTCTGTGTAGTCAACATCTATAAACACCTTATCTCCCATATTGTCTGTATATCTAACAAATCTTTAGCAATATATATATATATATATATATATACTTTCTAGTATATCTAGTACTAATATATATATATATATATATATATATATATATATATATATATATATGTATATATAATTAACGAAAATCTTGGTAATCCGTATGGATAATCCCAAGAAGGATGAAACCTGAGAGCTCAATGTTAAACCAGAACGAATAATTTAATTTAAAGAAAAACAGACAACTTTAAGGATCCATTTGTTATAATTTATTTCACTAGAGAATTTTATTTTTCTCTGGATCTTCAGACTTCTCTTTCAAAAGGTGAAACGAAAAATGAATTTAAAATTTACACTTTTGACGAGCAGTATTTAGCTGATATATATATATATATATATATATATATATATACACGCACACACACACGCACATACAAGAGGTTTTGAAAGTTAAACGCCCTACTCACAAAATTCGTATTCCAGTGTTTACTCTTTTATCTGCTGATTTTAGAAAGTAGTTCGAAACTAGAAATTTTAAGCACACACACACACGTGTTTAGATGTAGATAAATATTCTTCGCGTTGATCTTCAAAACTGAACTTAATCTACTACTAAAACGTAAACACGCGATTAACCTTCCTGTTTGGCTGATAGATTATCGCAGAATAAATGCTTAATCTACATCATATTAAGTGATTATAAGATGTGGATAAGAAGGCATTGCTTACGTGTCGAGAAATGATTCTAAATGCACAGTTGCTAATGCGGCTTAAAAACGCCTGTATATGTCCCCGATATTCGAAAATGGCTGCATATATTAGAAATATGTTTTAAATTCTTTTCTTTTTTTTTTTTCATTTTTTTGGTCAAGTCAAAATTATTCTCAGTTTAGGGTTAGCATCTGCCATACTCTCACTGAAATGTCATGTATAGCAAAAGGAGACAACAATTTGGAATTTTGAAAATTTGAGATATATGATCAAAGAATCTACGAAAATGAATTTGAGTACAGGGATCGATATCGTGCTACCTCAAAGTTCGATCTTTAGTGAATCCCCCTCATGTTATAGCCTTGTGCCAGACTGGGTGAAGTTTACGAAATAATTAACCTTATTGAGTAAATGTTGCTGCTGCTATTGTTTGTGAGTTTTGGTATGTTTTTTTTTATTTTTTTATTTTAATACTTAATTTCATCTCATAAAAGGTTCGAGAGCTCCTCAAGGTAGATGATTACTGTTAAAATCGTTATGATGAATGAGTTTTGTAATATGAATGAAAGTGAAGCAGTAGGAACTAAAGATTATAAAGCTAGTCGAGTGGAAATCTCGCATTACATTTGGAATATGGGGAAAATGACGGTGATTCGATTCTAAGAAAGTGGCATAGTGGAACTAAAGAATGGAGCGCCCATCTGAACATTTGCTAGGGAAATAGCAAAAGAGAAAAGATAGACTTGCGATGTTGCCTCTTTGGGAAAGAAGTTGCAGTCCTCATTAAGAGCTCTCGTGTAATTACCTTGCCTTAATGGTGATTAGTAAATATTTAATTTTACTTCATCAGGTTGTCATCCATCCATTATTGAAATCTATTATCTTTGAGTGCTCCTCTAATGAAACTTCGTGGCAGACGAAACAAAATTCGTTATCTTCTCAAAGAAGCCTGTCAGGTATTATATTGCATGACCGTTATATAAGAACTTGCGTGCCATAAAACTAAATCATCCTGACGGGTTGTTGTTTCTTGTCTTTAAACCCTCTCTGTACTTACTGATATAAAATGCATGTTATCATTAACTGCCCCAACAATAAATCGACACATGATGGTTGCGTCAGTTGTCTTCTTTTTTAATGTAATACGACACTCGTGACACACAACTGAGTGATCGTCGTAGAATTCAGTCAAACCGGCGCGCTCATCGACCGCTGCCCCTACCAGATTTTCCTCCAACTCTCTGATCCTTATGCAGTCCAAATGTCAGAAATCAGAATAATTATGCAAGCACATTTATTGCTGTCGAAACAACGACATTCTCCGACTTGCTGACATACCTGGCAACGCTGTCTCTTTAGTGTTACCTTCATGTCGAGAGATGTTAGACAGACAGACCGAAAGAGATACCCAGTAGAAAGGCTTTGGGAAGTCTATACGCACATCTGTGCAAGTACAGATGTCAATCGACTGACGTCTATGTGCGTGTATTTGTTTGCCAGAAGCTGAGCGCGCTGAAGTCATGTGCTTAAAAGAACGAAAACCTAAAAATAATCATGTGATGTCGACCTTGAGGATTAGGTTTGTGCAAAAGTACCCAGCAAAAAGAAATCAGTTTTCAACTGTTTACTTAGTCTTTAGTTTTCAATAAACGAACGCTGGGAACTTTTGCAGACATTTCATAGATGTAAGCGACAGAATGACCAGAAAATTAATAAATATCCTACATACTTGAAATTTCGTTCTCTTATCACTCTCTTTCTCACCCTTTCTCTCTCTTATTTTCACTTTCACTCGTTTGTCATACCTTTTCTCTCTCTCCCCTTTCTCTCTTATAGTTTCTCTTTCATATGGTATCGCTCTCTTTCATCGCTTTCTCATCTTCTTTCCCTCATCCCACAAATTTTTTCTCTCTCTCTCTTTCATTCATCTCCCACATACTTTTATCTCTCTCTCACACACACACACATTTCTTTTCTCTCTTTTATTTCCTCTCGTCTCTCTCTCTCTCTCCTATATATATATTTCGCTTTCGTCTCTCTCTCTTATTGTTTCTCTTTCATATCGTATCTCTCTCTTTCATCGCTTTTCTTTCTCATCTTTCTCTTAACCCACAAATTTCTCTCTCTCTCTCTCTCTCTCTCTCTGTGTGTCTTTCACTCATCTTCCACCTTGTTTTCTTTTTTTTCTACCTCTTTTTCTTTCCTCTCCTTTCTCTCCCATATATTTTTCGCTTTCATCTCTCTCCCTCCGATCTCTTCTGTCTTTCTCACTTTAAGCCTCGTCAGATCTAGCTTCTCATATGGTTGTTAAGCATGGCGTCCAGAAATGTCTAAACTATCAGCTATATCCAAGCAATAATTAAAAAGGTTTTAGAAGTACAAACAAATAACCACACCACATCACACAAAGATTTTCAACAGTAACAGCAACCAAAATGAATAACGCATTAAACTCGAAGAGAAAATAATGAGAATCAAGATGTTAACCTTCCACACTACATTAAGGTTAGAAAGAAAGACCCCATCAGTACTAGAAAGAGCGATAACACTTAGTGGACTTGAGAAACCAGTTTTTCTAAAAATGTTTTTTAAAAGAAAGATTTTGAAAATTCCGACACTAATGGGAAATATTTTGTTAATAAATGCCGAAGGTTTCCTACAGGGAAATGGCTACTCTCACAATTATCAATAGAAAGTCACATATTCTTCTCACTCCTCACTATTTCCTTCATGTTCTCTCTCTCACCCCACTTTCTCTTTTTTTTTTTCAGTAATATTTCTCTTTCTCTTTTCTGTCTATTACTTCCATAACAGGCCTAATTTCTCTCTCTTGCTTACCACTCTCTCTCCCAAAATTCCCTCATTCACCCTCTCATATTCACACCATTCCTCTTTTTCTCTGTCCATTTCATTTTCTTTATAACTAGTAAACTCTTATTCCTTCACAGGGTCATCACTCGCTCGCCAACCTTTTGTTCACTCACGCAAACAGGCAACCACTTTGACGCATTTACTAAAACGTTTATATATTACTCATAACTTTATATATATATATATATATATATATATATATATATATATATATATATACTGTTCATGCGTTATTTTTATAGGTATAATTTAAGTAAATGTTCTGTTTTTTTAATTACATTTACCGGCCGGAATGTTCGAAACGTAATTAATACTGTTTAATATAAATTATATCTATAAAAAAAACTATAAACATATATATATATATATATATATATATATATATATATATATATATATATATATATAAGATCGAGAATATTTGTAAAGGAAGAAAATCAGTGAAAAGAGACAAGAGGAAAACTTTTCTTAGCCAAAACATTTCGTCGTCTGAGGGACGAAACGCGTCGATTTTTGCTTTTATCTTTATTATTCACCATTTTCGTCTCCCACCCTCTATTTATCAATCACCAACTCTATCTTTCTGTAATAATTCGTCATTTCTGTTCTTTTTTTTTTTTTTTGCTCTCTCTCTCTCCATATATAGATTCGTGGTGTACATGCGCGTAAGCCCAGCAATGCCGATAGCCAATTGCGTTTCACATACACATGCCTTTGTCGCATGTCATAAAGCGGTTCCGCTGCAACAATGGAAATATGTGAAGCATTTTTGTCCTCTTTTATTGTTGCATTTTTTTATTGGCACCAAAATATCACCAACACACCCAGATGTCTGTAAAGAACTGCAAATTACTCAGTGCTTGCACTGAAATGCATGCATATCATTGTCAGCAATCAACAGAATAAATTTGCGTATATATCCGAATTTGCAGTCAGGAATTTAAAAATATTCTTTCTTTGAAAAGATTTTTTGATCGATTTCTCATTTTCCCTTGTTTATGCACGTATAATTCGATATATATATATATATATATATATATATATATATATATATATATATATATATATATATATATATAGATTTCGAACTTGCGTCCTCCTTTATAGGGGAAACCACCATTTGATCCGGTGATCTTTACCTTCGGTTAGAAAGAGCATCACAGTACAGCAAGGCACTATTTTCAAATTTTAAGGAATACACACTTCCTCACTAAGACATTTTCTTTCATTTTCCTATCCAAAACGCAAACAAAGCAACTTCTAAAAAATTAATGTTTGCTTTTAATCCAAAGTTTTTAATTCTTTTATTATTGCTTCAAACGCTGTTAAAGTGGATACTCGTTTTGAAATAGTCGCCAAATTTTTATTTTTACTTTAAGCAGTGTGTATTACGTCTATCAGTTTTCGCATTCGAAAAATCCTAATAAAGAAAATGTGATCTCCGTCAGGAATCGAACATGTGTCAACCATTATAGAAGAGACCACCGTTTGGTCCGATATATATATATGTGTGTGTGTGCGTGTGTGCGTGTGTATGTATGTATGTATAAGTGGACAATGAAGTCAAGACCCAGCGGCTGTTTCATTCATAAACGCAATCATCAGGCCATGCATGTGCGTTGTGTTTTGCCTCGACTATTTATATATGTTGGCCAGTAGTGCATTGTGGTTAGGTCTATTGTATTATTCTAGGAGCTATTGAGTGGGAATAATTGTGGATCCGGGTGCAGTTATGTGGCGATTTGATAGTGTTGTTTGTTAACTATTTTATTCATTATTTATTATTGATTATTTTATTATTTTCTCTTAGTTGTTGTCATTACATTTTCTGGTATTTGTGTGTGAGTTCGTAAGTTTTTATTTGTTTATTATTTACTTAATTATTGGTTTGAATTAATTTATTTTATTTATCTGTTTTTATTAATATATTTTATTATACAGAGTGCGCAGTTACTACACTCTGATTCACAACAGAAGTACTTATCCATATGTCCTTTTTACGGGTACTGTGTTTGTATTATATAAACAATTTCCCAACTATAATATATTATTATCATTATTATTAATAATCGCCTAAAGGAATTTTTTCCCTTTGTTTTGAAGGTATTAGAAAGCTAGTCTTAGAGATTATTACCACTGGAGTGATTTTCATTCTCATTGCGCGTCTTATAAATTGATACAATACTAAACTTCTGGAAGTTATTTCTTCTAAACTGCAAAAGACTCATCACGATTTTAAGTAATAAAAGTCGAATGATCATTTAAAGTAATAAAAGTCGAATGATATCAGTCTCCTCTGTTATTTGATTGTGCATGTATTCAGTCAAACATTAGTATTCTCCGTTTGTCTAAATTCAAAACAAATTCAAATCTCTCAATTTCCAAGGCAACGTCACAAGTTATTTTTGAATTTTTAAAAATTAACTTATTTATAAATTTAAATTGCTTTATTTCGTCCACCGGTGAGTCAAAACTTAAAGAGTTGAGTTAAAGGGAAATAACTGAGACCTCCGGAAGAGGCATGGCACGTGGAACTTGAACAATCTACCCCGGTGGACGAAATAAAAGGTTAGGTTCGAAATTCCAATCACCTGAAGAAGGCCAGAGCGTACAACGGCCGAAACGTCGTGAATATGGCAATGAAGATGAAGATAACAGTCCGAATAATGTAAATAATGCAAGTAATCATAATACCTCGTCTCAAAGATGTAGACAGATACTTTGCCTGTATTTCAAAACGTATTTAAATTGACACAAATGCTTTTTTTTTGTTTTTGCTAAAAATCTGTTTAATTGGGCATTCAAACAATATGGCGATCCAAAGATCTGTGTGAAAATGCCACAAATATAACTCGTACTAAAATACTACGTTTGTCCTATAATTGCTGTTGCAGTGGCAGTAATAATTAACTGCTTAATATTAACGAACGGGGGAGACGACGGGAAACGTTTCAGGTAGAAATGTGTTTCTTTATTTTAACTGATACACTTATCGGTAGCAGTTGCTGGAAGGCATCGAACAGATTCTGTGTATTACGACGTGTGTAGGATAAGACGTTTTTTAAAAGAAAAAGATAAAAGGTTTTAAATTCTCATGATCTCCCACGTCCTGAAGGAACACGGCACATAAATGACGAATATACGGTTATACAGTAAAAGTCATATTTTCTAGAAAGCTCTAAAACAGGATTGATAGGGAGGGTTTTAAGCTAAACACTTCCCATAAATACTGTTTTAGAGCTTTCTAAAACCTTTTAACAGAGGACAGAAAGTGTGACGCCAATATCCATAGATGAGAAAGGGAAAGATGCCGCCAAAAATCTAAGCAATGTATTAATGAAACATTTCGTTAGAAACATAGTTTTGAATTGATACGTCATATCAGTCCTCCTATAGGCAGTCGATGAGGGACAATCTTGTCACAGATGAAGAAGAAACTTGAAGCAACAAAACTGTAATTCTGCAGAAGGATACTGAGAATATCATGGACTGAACATGTGAGCAACAATGAAGTTTTAGAGAAAATGGAAACAAAAAGGACACTTAACATCAAAAAGAGATTAGAAATTTTTAGGGCACATAATAAGGAAAGAAGGCTTGGAAAATTTGACACACATAGGACATGTTGAAGGCAAGAAGGGCAGAGGAAAATAATGTATTACCTAACTAATGAGGCTTGTGAAAATGGTTGCCAGAACAGAGATTAGGAGAGATAACTAAAAGACAAAATTTGCAAAGTGCTGCAAAAGACAGGAACTTGTGGCGAGCCATGATCGCTAATGTCTTGAAGAGAAATTTCACGAAGTTTTTTGTTCGACTTATGTAAAATTAACTTTTGAATATGGTAAGAACTGTCGATTCCTGAAAAATTTTAAGTTAAAACTGTTTATAATTTCTTAGAAAACAGTCATTGGTCTGTTTTTAGTGTGCTTAATTTATTTTGGGGCGTTGGGAGGCACATACTATGGTATATACAAGATTATATATATATATATATATATATATATATCTCATCTCACAAGTCATTGCTACTGTGTATTGTCTTTACTGACAGTCGTCCTATTGAAACTGGTCTGCACCTTTATTACACGATATTCAAGGATTATTTGTGGATATTATTCTCATATTAAGATTCTCTAATGTCTGGAAATCCATCGGTTTACGATCAAATCACAGTGAAAGCGGCGGCTCTTATCTAATCACCAAAATGAAGCAATTTCTTAATCAGTAGTTAGATGGGTGACTATGAAGTAAATATACGGTGCTGTATATGACGTATGTTTCGTGTCAGACTAATCAAAGCTTAGTAGATAAACTATTTTTGGGAAAATCCATGATAACCTTAGAGTTGAAAGATATAAGTATAGAAAACTTTTCAAAAGTTCACTCGGCAAATTATCCAAGTTGTTTAATTTAGCTCTCGCGATGTTCCTTTTAATTGAATTAATATTGAAAATATATATTTCTTAAATATTCCTTTAAAATATATGACCTTTAACATTATTATTAGATTATTTTCTGATGTTTTTTGTTTTTATATTTTTATTTCAGTGTGCTTTATTGATAAGTATTGTAATAAAAAATAAACGTACGGTTAGTTTAACGGATATAATTGTAGCAAAATGAATTCGAATTCCGGGCTAGTCTATTTGCGTTTACTTTCACACAAATGCCCGTAGGAAAAATCTGAACGTGTCTCTTTTCTCTCCAAATATGTGTTAAGCAGAACGAAAAACTGAGTAGTAACCAGATTGAAAAATGAATTCCAAGGTGTGGAGAAAGTAACGGGAAACTATTCCTGTCTTTGCTCCAAAATGTACGGCAATTCACAAATGATGAAGAAAAATTTATGGAGAGTCATGATTGTTTCCGTTTTCAAAGGATATGACAGTAAAAATTGTAAAATAAAAACGTCCATGTCAACGATTAACTACGCTGTCTGGTACTACAGGTAAGAATACAGACGACATATTTGGTTCAGCACGTGAAGAGACGCCTGAAGTTCGGCTTGTCAGCCTATTGGTTGTTCGAGCGATGCCAGGTATGCAGTTTCTTCGGTGACGTCACAACCTAAAAAAGGTTGAAACAATGACAGAATAGGAAGAGAAAGAACGCTCTAGAATAACAATCTCGCGAAATAAGTAAAATTATCATCAAGCACATTTTGAGGGAACTGTCAAGCCGTTTACGCCTATGAATGTAGACGTTAAAAACGTTATGACAGTCAAAGGAGTTTTTAAAAACAAGAGCTATAGATATTAAGATCTTCGAATTGAGGGCTACAAATTTATGGAAATGGTTTTCAAAATATCAGTACTTGCATTATTTACATTATTCGAACTGTTATCCTCATCTTCATTGCCATATACACAAAGTTTCCTCAAGGATACATGGCCCAGTGGATAAAAACGTAGGTTAGATCCAGTGCGTAGCCCCAAAGAGTTGTGAGTTCAATACCAGGCCACAGCAGTGGTGAACCAAAACTTGGAGAGTTGAGTTAAAGGGAAATAACTGAGACATCCGGAAGAGGCATGGCACGTGGAACTAGAACAATCTACCCCCGGTGGACAAAATAAAGGGTTCGGTTCGAAATTCCAATCACCTGAAGAGAGTACAGCGGCCAAAACGTTGTGAATATGGAGTTGAAGATGAGGATAACAGTCCGAATAATGTAAATAATGCAACTAATTATAATACCTTATCTCAGCGATATGGATAGATATAAAGATCGCTGTCAGACAAAATGAAAATCAAAGGCAAATCGAATCGGTATCGTCGTTTTTGTGGGGTTTTTTTTATCAATTTTCTTTTTCTTTTCTTTTCTTTTTCCCTTTCTTTTTTCTTTTCTTCTCCTTTCTACTTTTTTCCTTTGATTTCTTCTTTTAAAAGAAAACTGCCATCGACCATATCACATTGAAACACCGGTTCTCGTACTATCACTGAAGTTAAGCAACGTCAAGCTTGGTCAGCACCTAGATGGGTGACCACTGGGGGATATAAGGTACTGTAAGCTTAAATGGGCGGCTAGTGCAATGGTTAACGGCGTGGAATTGTTAATTGGAGAGTCGAGTTCGGATTCCAGCCGGGTGTGTTATTAAATAATCTGGCTTACAGACTAGCATTTGCCTAAAGTCTTTTCTACAAAGATAATTTTCAGGGAGAGTAATGTTCTGTTTAAAATTCGGTCGGATTGTTGGTTATTTTTGGTTCAATATTCTTGACCCACAAGGAATGTCGTCCGTTAACTCCTTGTCATGACAGACAGAGCTGAGGGAATCAAGTACATCCGGATTTATAAGACTTCTACAGTACGCTCCTTTCTTTTGCTCTAATTTTGTTCCATATCCTGAAAGGTTTTTTCGTACACTCCTGTTGGAGAAGCAAACACGGATGCAGAATTTGTTTTTGTTGCTTTTAAGCCGAAATTGATTTTTTTTTTCTAATTTAATTTTTCTGGCAGGCTACACGTCTCCGAGCACACCCGTCTGCTTAGGCAGCTAGCCAATCCCTGTTGTAGACGCCTGCTCAATCACATTTGTTTTGATCAACACCCACATAGACACCTGTGGTTTATACTTCAACTCGTTATATCACAGCTATTTTAATGTAATTATATAACAAGGTTGGTTCGCTAACTAAAGTATAAACATGGTTGGTATGACATTGAACCAATGGTTCTCTTTCAATCAATACGTTCGTATCTTTTTGATATCAACGATCATTGGTTCCTGTCAGAGACACTAATGGAAGTAAGAATTGTTTGGTAAGTAAGAAGTAAGAAATATCTTGACTCGTTATGTAGTTATGGGAGAGTGGTATATACAGATTTTTTTTCCACCCAAAATAATAGCCTGCTCTTGCCAAGAAACTACTTCAGAGTACGTCATTTTTCCTTTCGTTATCACATTTTTAGATTTTAAAAGTTTACATTTTAATTTAATTGAATTCAACGCATTTCTAATGAATATTTGATTGATTTATTTTTTAAGGTTTATTAACCTTTTGCGAGCTATCTAAAGCCAGAAGATTTTATAAGAATTTTATGAAAATAATAATGATTTACAGATACAAATTCTACTAATTAACCCATAGCTGAAGGTGTATTCATACCTTTGCCAAAGTCATCTGCATATCTTATGTTGTTAAAATTAGGATCGCCAATAACGAATTCTGGTAGGATTTCTGCCGCACTTGCATGAATAAATATGAAAAATAAATTTTAAAAATTAAGACGTTTTATGCCCATTTTTATTAAATCGAAAACGGTAATAAACAATCTTCGAGGTTTAAGTTACAGATGGTAAAGACCAAGTGGCTGCAAGAAATCTTTTAGTGTTAAATCCAACTAGTGTCAAGTCAGTTTGGTTTGGTTTGTTTTACGGCATATCAAGTCAGTTTGTTATATGTTGTTTCTACCTATATATATGTGTATATATATATATATATATATATATATATATATAAGAAATGGACAAGGTCCGACAATTTATTTATTAAAGACATTTTTTATGTTTAACGTTGTTTTTTATAGATACAAGTATTTAAGCAAATGCTCTGTTTATGATAAACAGTATTAAATAACATTTACCGGCCTGAATGTCCAAGAAATTTTCATATAAAATATCCTGTCAAAGAACGAATATTTCCTATGAAAATTTTAACACATTTGACATATTATTATTTTTTTTTATATTGATATGGCCTGATTTTATGAATTAAAATTTGATGAGATCGTCCACGTCCGCTAGAAGCTTTTAAATGGTCAAGTTTGGTTTGGTTTGTTTTACGGCATATCAACCGGAATGGGTTATTTAATACCGACAAAATTTTTATTGCTGGTAATATTTTTTGTCAAAAATCTTTTTCTGGTAATATTTTTCCTTCAAAAATATATTGCTGGTAATACTTTTTTTTCAAAAATGTATAGCTAGTAATATTTATTTTTTTAAAAACATATTGTTGGAATTTTTTTTTTTTTTTCAAAAATGTATTGCTGGAAGTATTTCTGGTAGTAAAACCTGTTTTTGCACTTTCATAGTGTTTTTACCTCAGTTTTGGTGGACCTGGGAACACCAGCAATTAAGAGGTGGTTCCACGGTCCTCAAAACCTCCTGATCAGAGGCCTTGCTGTTGGGCGTAGTTTATAGTCTTACCCAAGACGCAGATGTAGTTTATCGTCTTATCCAGGACGCGGATGTAGTTTTTCGTTTCACCCAGCACTCGGATGTAGTTTATCACTTTACCCAGGACGCGGATGTAGTTTATCGTCATATCCAGGACGGCTCAAATGATCAGAAAGAGTCATGTTTTTCTAAATGAATCTAACAAACCCGACTAGAATTGGAAATCGAGGAGCCGTGTTCCAAATCCAAGCCGTTATCCATTACACCACCCGCACATCCAATCTTACAGCCTCAGGTATTAACCCAGCAGTCATCTCTGCACTGACCAGACTTGACGTTGCTTAACTTCGGTGATCGTACAAGAACCGATGTTTCAACATGATATGGCCGTAAACCTTAAAATGAAATTTAAAAGTTTTTTCAACGTAAATAAGAATCATGTATTTTCCTTTGTGCCTAAATTATACCAGAAAGTTTCACGAGAAAAAGGTGAAAATAAACTGTCAAAAATTAACCTTATTTTCTTGTTTACATATCAAATACAGATTAGCTATAAGTATATTTACCGGAGCTACATCCAATAAGTGTTTGAAATATGTTTAATGGGAGCATCTGCATTGTAAGCTGCGGATTTATCACACATATCTACAGAAGTTACTCTCTTCAACTTGGAAGTGTTTAATTCTAAAATTAAACTAGCTACAAAGAAGAGCACTTGCACAATAAAGTTCAATTACCGTGCGCATTTTATAAAAGTGAACATTGGTGACAACACTTAGAGCTAAACACAATCGTTAGGTCACATGCGTTTTTCTCGACTATTTACATATACGGGTCAGAGCCATCAAGAAGGGCACTGATGAAAATTAGGAATAATGTAGGTCCAAGAGCACCTGTATTAATGCAAAAGGATCTAGAAGAGTGGCCATTCAAGACGTCTTTCATTTCGCGATTTGATAAAGAAATAAAAAGATTGAATCCATTCAAAATTCGCCCCAAAATACTATAACCTTTCAACTCATAAAGAAGACCAGTATGCCAAATTGATGGCTCCAGCTCTTAACTTGGTATCTATTCTGATGACACTACTATTTACTCCTGTCTTAATAGTAAGTAGGATCGGTTTGATAAGGTCAAATTGGCAGATGATCTCAACAAAAAAAAAAAAAAATTAAATAAAATAAAATAAAAAAATAAAATAAAATAACCGTTAGAATAGACTACCCACAATGCAATAGACTACCCACAAATCATCATTGATCCGTATATATAAATAGTCGAGAAAAAAAAAATCATGTGGCCTAATGATTGTGTCTAGCTCTAAGTGCTGTCTCCAATGTTCACTTATATATATATATATATATATATATATATATATATATATATATATATATATATATATATATATATAATGCGCACAGTAATTGAACTTTATTGTTAATAAAATGTGCAAGTGCTCTTCTTTATAGCTAGTTTAATTTTAGAATTAAACACTTCCAAGTTGAAGAGAGTACCTTCTATAGATATGTGTGATAAATCCGCAGCTTACAATGCAGATGCTCCCATTAAACATATTTCAAACACTTACTGGATGTAACTCTGGTAAATATACTTATAGCTAATCAGTATTTGATATGTAAACAAGAAAATAAGCTTAATTTTTGACAGTTTATTATCACCTTTTTCTCGTGAAACTTTCTGGTATAATTTAGGCACAAAAGAAAATACATGATTCTTATTTATGTTGAAAAAAACTTTTAAATTTCATTTTAAGGTTTACGGCTATATCATATTGAAACATCGGTTCTTGTAGGATTGATTATAAAATACTTTTGTGCTTCTCGACTTTAATGGGCAATTCTTTCACAAAAGTTTTTTAAAAAATATGGTTGATCACTCTAAAAATATTCTTCTACAGTCAAAGCAATTTATAAAGGAAAATTATTCATTTAATTATTTTTTTGTGTTACCTTGAAATAAACTTAAGATGAACATGCAGTAATAATTTTCATAAAAAGATATCTATCCTGAAAGATATTTATTTATTTTCATTGCAGACAGCACTTTGGAAATTAGGTAATAATGTAATTTTGGTTTGGTTTGTTTTACGGCATATCAACACCTCAATCGGTTAGTTAATGCCGACCAGATTTTTATTGCTAGTAAGATTTATTTTCTTCAAAAATGTATTGCTGGTAATAATTTTTTCCTTCAAAAATTCATTACTGGTAATGATGTTTTACAAAAATGTATTGCTGGTATAAAAACCTATTTTTACGCTTTCATAGTGTTTTGACACCAGCTTGAGGGTTAACTATTTACCCATAGCTGGGGCCCTAATAGGGTCGCCTTTAAATCAATTGAATTTTTAAGAGGAAATTTTGGCCTCAAATTTTGTGAATGGAACTTTTCGTAGATGAATTACTATTATTTTTTATTTTTTTCTTTTTTTGTAAAGTTGAAACCCGTTCATGAAAGAAGGCACAAGAAGCAAGTGTTAGCTTCAAGAATTAAAAAAATATTTCCCAGTTACCAAGACAAAGACTAAATGATGTCTTACAATAGCAACATTATAGCTTAACTGAATTTTGTTTTTTAACTTTTTTATTTTTAGTGGTAAACGTTTTTCTTTTTTTTTAATTTTAAGTGTTTTCACTTCATCAACCGTCTATGTACGAAACATTGAAGTATTTTTAGTGAAAATTGCTTGAAATAAGTTTTATAAGTCATAAAATGTAGTACTTTATTAAGAAGCTCGCTGCTAGTGGGTGTAGGAACTGACCTTAGAAATCACTTGACTCTCTCTGTGAAAATGACGTTAAGTAATTTACATACGCAAATTATTATTTATAGCCCTTTGACCTTAAATTTTGGCATAGATTACCCGT